CTGTGACTTGGCCCAAACCACACATTGTGCCCACAGGAGTGTCAAACACAGAGAGCCAAGGAGGAAACCTCGCCAGGCTGGCTCCAGTAGCCTGGGGCAGGGGGCCCAAAGCAGCTTGATGAAAGGTTGTCCCTTACCAATCCGTCGCAGTTGCTGATGGCGACAGCTGCCCCTGGCATGCCCGTGACGTCCCCGGTGTAGACACACTCCCGCTGCAAGGGCTGTCGGAACAGCTCCCGAAAATCCTCCTGCCACTCCACGGAGGCTCCGGGTACCACCAGCCGTCGGTTGGGCCGCAGCCGCAAATGCAGTTCCTCCCCGAAAACAGTAACATTGAAGTAGAGGGAGGAGGGCCCTGCCCGGCCAGACTGCGGGGTCACTCCCTCCCGGCGCAGGGGGCTGCGGGCCACCCGGGGGTGACTGGAGTATGACCGTGGTGCTGGTGGCTCATCGGCTATTGCGCTCCCTGAGGGGGCTGCTGCTGGCCCAGACAGCACGTGGGAGAGGAAGCGTCCCCGAAAATCTGTGCTACATGGCACTGTCACAACATAGTCACCGAGCTTCCCGGAGAGGCGCAGTTCTGGAAGTAAACAAGGAGTTCTATCAATATAGTCTGTGCAAAGGTAAGGGGAGACCAGCCATCCCCAGGGCAGGGAGGGCTCTGCAACCCTGAGCGTCACCTTGCAGGGACCCCTTAGCCCAAGTTCATTCAACGGCCATCCAGTGCTTCCTGAGCCCCTGGATCTCTGTACTTAGATGAACGGTGTTCAAGTACTCTGTGCACATAACTTGCTTCCTGGAGTCCCCAAGGCCCTGTTAAACTTAACAGAAGAAAAGAAATGATGCCAGAGTCCTGTCTGTCACTCTAGCAACGAGCCTTCCAACTTTGGGCACTGCCAAGGAAAGGGCTGAAATTCCGCAAAAGCCCCCAGGGCCAAGAGAGGGATGGCGGGATGGGCCCAAACTCCCTCAGCGTGCTGCAGTCACCAGCCCAGCCCGGGGTAGGGCCCTCCTCGCCAAGCTCTCTCAACGCAGCCACCAAAACACACACACCTAGAAACCCAGGGGATCCTGGGCACGTGTCAAGGAGAGAGGAGCTGGAAAAGGGAGGGAGGGTACACAGGTTCTATGTTTTTCCAAGTTTAGAAAGAAAACTTTTTAAAGTAAACAGAGGCTGCTGAGATTTCTACATGGCCCAGCACCAAGCCTGGTAAATATAGATCTTCAAAAATAAAAAGAGCCGCATGGGGTGACCTGCCTACTCGGACTGAATTAAGTGTGAGGTCATGGCCCCAGGCTCCAGGCTGAGAGCCAGCGGCCAGGTCCTCACACAGCTCTCGCTAAACCCAGCCAGGCCCAGCAGCAGTGACAGCTCGCTGGCTTCCAGGCTTGGTGACTCAGGGATGGGAGTTTAGAGGGATTTTCATTTCCGCACGGCTCTCTCCCTTGCCTCCCCTAGCCCCCTGCATGCTACTGATGAAACCTAGAAAATGACATCTCCCGGAAACCTAGAAAATGACATCTCCCGAAAAGCTGCGATGCCCCAGGCAGTTACAGTGAGGGGGTCCTGATTCTTCTCTAGTTTTACCCTTTAAGACCCCCAGGATTTCTGCTAGAGAGATCCCCCTTCAGTACATGAATAGAGCTCACAGACAAGCAGGTGTTTCCTGCCTGGAGATACCCGGGGCCCCTCCCCGTGCTCAGGTGAGGGTGTGGGGCGTCTGGTCTGTGTGTGAGAAGGTGTCTGCACAGAGCATGAGCGTGATGGAGGAGAGAGCTAGAAGTGTGTCTCCCTGCAGGAATGTGAGGGCCAGGTGCCCCCCCCCTTCCCCCCGCGGTGTGGGGCAGCCACCTGCCAGCCTGACTCGGGGAGGATGAGGCAGTCAGACACTCGCACGGCAAGCTGGAGAGAGGGTAGGCACTGAAAGTCAAAGACACACAGAACAGAAACAGCCCAACAGAGTGTGTGCGCGCGCGTATGAGAGAGAGAGAGAGATACAGACAGAGAGACAGAGAGAGATACAGAGACAAAGACAAATATACCCTCTAAGAAGAGACTCCATAGTCCCAAAACCTCTTCGGGGGTTCTCCACCTCTCTTGCCAGAAAGAAAGAGCAAGGTCTGGTTGGCGCCGGGGGCCGGGGGCGTAGGGGAAGAAAGAGCTCTAGCCCAGGGCGCGCACCGCCTTGGCTCCCTGGAACGCCGCCGGCTCCTTGGGCCCCCCGGGACTGCCTGCCTCGCGGGCACCCCGGACCCCTCGCGCCCGCGCGCGCCCGACCTGCACGCACCTGGGGTCCGGCTGCCCGCGGCGGCGCAGAGCGCACAGTGCAGGGACAGCAGGCAGGCCAGCAGCGCGCGGATCGGAGCCATGTGGCCGCGCGCGGACGCGGGCCCGAGGGCGCCGAGCCCCGAGCCCCGGGCTGCCGACGAGGCTGGAGCGCGCCCCGGACAGCCGAGCGCGGGCCGACAGTCCTCCGTCTGCTCCGCCGCCGCCGCCCTCCCGGCCGCCCGCCGGCTCCCGGTCCCCCGCGCCACCGCCTGGACCGCTGGCTCCACGCGCCCGAGGCTCCCGGCGGGAGAGCGGAGCGGCCGACGCGCCGGCGCCCCCCGTGCCAACTGCCGCGGGCCGGTCGGTCCTCCCGCGCCGTGACGCTCGGGGACGCGGCGCGAGCCGGCCAAGGGGGGCGGCGGGGCGGGCGGGCCGGGGGGTGGGCACGCAGGCGGGGCGGGGCCGGGCGCGGGTCGGACGGGGGGCGCTGCGCGGCCGGGGCGGAGCGCGGGGCCGGGGAGCCTGGCCCAGCGCGGTCGTGCCGGATCGGAAGTGCCACGCGGAGCCAGCCGCCTGGGCTCCCCCCGGAGTGACGGTCCGTAGCCGCCTTCCTTGTCCCCCTCTGCTCCCCTTACTTGACCGCAGGGCCCTCTCTCCAGAGCCACTGGGCCGGAGGGATGTCCAACTCCGTTTGGGCCTTGAGACGGTGACCACCTCTCCTTCCCACAAGAGGGTATCTCTCTCCTTTCTCTGCTAATAGTCTTGATGCCCCCCCGCTAACTTTTGACCCCCCCCCCCGGGATCTACCCCTGTAGGGCAGACTACACCTCTGTGCCCCCAATTGCAGGGAGTGGCCTGAGTCCTAGTCAAGAGTCTGGTTTAGGTGAGGGGACAGCCCTGGCTTTGTGCTCAGACAGACCTGATTGAAATCCTAGCCCTGGGCCTCCCTTGGAGTGTTAACTATAGCACCTAGTAGGTGTTCAATAAATAGGGACCCTCCACCTCTGGCACTAAGAGCTCCTCCATAGCCCAAGGTGGGAAAAACCGAGAGTCAGAGATGAGAGTGGATTTGGTTTTGCAATGTTGCTGAGGCCAGTTCACCAGCCAGGGCACACAGCCCAACTCCTGCTTCTCAGTATAAACGTGTTCCTAACGATTTGCAAATGAACCGCATTTCACGTAAGCCGGAGGTGGGGATTGGAGTAAGGATTTTTTTCTTTTTTTAAAGGACCTGTGGAATAAAGAATCTTTGTATAAAGTGTAGAAAGACCCTAATCTTTCTGCTTTTGAGTCCAGACATTCTGTTGTGGGGCTTTCTTAAAGGGAGGCCCACTTGTGGGTGGAAATTCTCTAGCACACTTCTCTTGGGGAATCCATAGATCCCCCTGAGAGAGGACTTGGGTTCCTGCACTCTTCCCAGTCTGCACCCTTGTTAGGCTCTGAATGCACTCCCGCCTGGTGGACACAGACCCGGATTCCTCATCCTCGTGGCCCCAGGCCCTAGCTCAGGGCCTCCTAAGAGACAGTGCTCACACAGTGATGAGCTATTCAGGGGCTGGCACACTTCTGAAAGCAGGTTCCGAGAGCTGACGTGGTGTCCCAGGTCACAGAGCTCATTTGCAGTGGGGCTGGGATCCTGGTCTAGTGCTGAGCCAGAGAAAGAGACAAGATTAGGGGTCAGGAGCCTATTTGAGGCTGAGCTTTGCCAAGAACAGTCTGTGTGACCAAGGGCTACAATACCTCATCTGTCAAAGGGGTAACCATGAAGCTCACGGAGTCAAGACAAACTCTGACGTCCTGTGGAAATGCAGAGCATTTCTATTCCAAGGAATCCTAAGACCATCCAGTTATTTGAAAATGACACCAGCAAACTGATATATATATATATGTATTAATTTGAAAGAGAGAGAGAGTTTACATGCATACACATAAGCAAAGTGGGGGAGAGGGAGGGACAGAGGGAGAAAGAATCTTTAAAAAAAATTTTAATGGTTATTTATTTTAATGTTTGATTTATTTTTGAGAGTCAGAGAGAGACAGAACATGAGCGAGGGAGGGGCAGAGAGAAAGGGAGACAGAACCCCGATGCGGGGCTAGAACCCACAAGCTGTGAGATCATGACCTTAGCCGAAGTCAGACACTTAACCGACTGAGCCATCCAGGTGCCCCTGGAGAGAGAATCTTAAGCAGGCTCCACGCTCAGCACAGAGCCCAGGGTGGGGCTCCATCCCACCGCCGATCACAAACTGACCTATATTAAGTTCAGGGGGAAAAAAAAACAACTGAGTTCCTTTTTTTCCTCTTTCGGGTCCTTTAAGATCTGTTAAGTCAAGAGCCAGACTGTGGTTTTGTGTGTGAGGACAGATGGAACAAGAATGTGAGGGGTATGTGTGTGTGTGTGTGTGCACGCGCGTGTATGTCCGTGGGAATGTGGAGGAGGGGCTGTGAGGTGACCAGGCTAGAACCGTTTCCATTCTGGCCCTCCACAAATCCACTAAATGAGCTCAGGATAAGATGACCTTCCCTTCTCAGGGTCTCAGTTTTCCCAGCTGCAGAGTGGGGGCCCTACAGGGACAGATAGGGAGAGTCACAGTGTGTGACTGCTGATCTTCTCCCTTTCCGTCCCAGAGGCTTGCCTAGCTCCCTCCCTGAGCCCCGCCCCATTCTTCCTGCCTTAGGCTTAGTAAGTCAAGAGGGACAGACTGCAGCTGGGACCCCAGAAGCCTGACTCATGAGCAATGGGCTGGGGCCTCCCCCGGAGCCCAGTCCTGGCAAGCAGAGAGCAAAACCTCACCCTGGGTCTCTCCCCCCACCTCCCTCCCTGGGGCCATAACGGTTGCTTTTGTTGGCAAGTATTGTATGTCCCTGCTCTCATCCACTAAGGAACCCTTTGTTAGGAAGAGCGGACATGGGAGCGTTAACTCAGAGTCTGGGCAAGGGTGGAGGAAATGGCTGGGTGGCAGACCCCCCGCTGGAGGTGAACAGGGCCAAAGCAAAGAATCCACAGGCATCAGCTGGGGACCCTCCGAGAAAGGGAAGTTCTGGGTTCCCTGGCCCTCCCCTTGGGAGTCTTGCACTGTGGAATACGGCTTGAGTGATTCTCTTGCTGACAGTCCTCCAGCATTTGCCCACCGCTCTTTCTGTCCAAGCGCTGGCAGGGGACAGGGGTAGGCAGACAACGTGCACTGCCCGGCCGGGAACCAACTGGAAGATACAACAGGCACAAGAGAAAGCCTGAAAACCAGGTAAGATGGGAAAGAGAAGCGTGCTCTGGGTGAAGGAGCGGAGTCAACAGTGAGCATTATGGGGGTCTCAGAAGGAAAGGGGCTTGGGGCAAGGTCAGTGGAAGACCTGCGTCCAAGCCAAAGCCCACAGTCTTCGGAGTACATCATGGTGCCTACACCCTCACCCCCTTAGAGGTCACATGGTTCAGTTTGTCTTCCTTTATCTTCCTTTTCTTAATGTTTATTGAGAGAAATAGGGCATGTGCACAGGGGAGGAGCAGAGAGAGAGGGGGGGAGAGAGAGAATCTTAAGCAGGCTCTGCACTGTCAGTACAGAGCCCAATGAGGGGTTCGAATTCACGAACCGTGAGATCATGGCCTGAGCCAAAATCAAGAATTGGAGGCTTAACCTACCAAGCCATCTAGGCACCCCTGGAAAGGTTTCTAAAAAGATAAAAGGAGAGGAGCCTGGGTGGCTCAGTCTGTTAGGCATCCGACTTCGGCTCAGGTCATGATCTCGCAGTCCGTGGGTTCGAGTCCCGCATCAGGCTCTGTGCTGACAGCTCAGAGCCTGGAGCCTGTTTCAGATTCTGTGTCTCCCTCTTTCTCTGCCCCTCCCCAGCTCGTGTCTATCTCTCTCTGTCTCAAAAGTAAATAAACGTTAAAAAACATTTTTTTTAAGATAAAAGGAAAGAGCTCCTGGGTAGTTCAGTTCGTTAAGCAGCTGATTTCAGCTCAGGTCATGATCTCAAGGTTCATGGGATTAAGCCCTGAGTGGTGCTCCTGACCGACAGGGCAGAGCCTGCTTGGGGTTCTCTCTCCCTGCCCCTCCCTCACTGGCAGAAGTGCATTCTCTCTCTCTCTCTCTCTCTCAAAATAAATAAATGAACTTTAAAATAAATAGATATTTTTCTCTTGTGAAAACAAGAACACATACAGAAAAGCGCCAACTGCTCATTTTTTTAGAGGGGGTAAACTGAGGCCCAGAAAGCAGAGGTAACTTCCCTGAGACCACAGAGTAGGTTTGTTCAGGGGCAAGATAACACCCCAAGCCACCTAGCTCCTGGTCAGATGATCCTAGAATATCATCCTGTTAGTTTCTCTACCCTCCCCCCCCCCTCCACTGAGGACCTTGGACCTTTGGCTACTCATCATATGGTTCTCACCCCATTCCTAAGGGAAGAACAAAGGTGTGGATCTCTTCCTCCCGACCCCTGAGAACCACAATCCTACTAAGAAGTTCTAGGCCGTGGGCACCTGGCTGGCTTGGTCAGTAGAGCATGCAACTGTAGATCTCAGCGTTGTGAGTTCCAGTCCCACCTTGGTAGTAGAGATCACTTAAAAATAAAAAATCTTGGGGTGCCTGGGTGGCTCAGTTGGTTAAGCCTCCGACTTCGGCTCAGGTCATGATCTCACAGTTAGTGGGTTCGAGCCCCGCGTCGGGCTCTGTGCTGACTGCCAGCTCAGAGCCTGGAGCCTGTTTCAGATTCTGTATCTCCCTCTCTCTCTGACCCTCCCCTGCTCATGCTGTCTCTCTCTCTCTCAGAAATAAATAAAACGTTAAAAAAATTTTTAAATAATAAAAAAATAAATTTAAAAAAAATCCTAAAAAAAAAAAGTTCTAGGTCAGTAGTTCTCAAATCAGGGTCCCCCTGACCGTCAGAATCAGTGTCACATAGGTGTTATAAATGGGACTTCTTGGGCCCCACCCCAGACCTATTCAATGAGCATAGGAGGCAAGGTGCTTTACCTGTGCTTTATCAAAACTTCCAGTGGATTCTAGTGCATGCACAAATATGAGAAGCACTATTCTAAGCAAAGCTTTGAAACTCAAGGCCAAATTAGGACAAGGACAAACTCACGGAGGGATCCGGGACCTGCTCCTCGCTAAAGGCTGCCACCCTCCCCTCCTCTCCCCTGTATGTAAAGCTTGGGATTGGGCCATATCTGAAGTCTGGGTCTGGACACAGCTCAGGAGCATCCAGAGACCGTGCCTTGTGGCCCTTCTCTGCATCCCCCTCCTCCTCCTCCTCCTCCCCACCCCCGCATTCCCTCTGCACATTTCTTGGCTAGTGTCTGGTGACCGTATCTAGGAGACCTGGACGGGTTAAGTTAACCACGGTGATTTGTCATACATTACGGAACAGCTGACACCCCCGAGACCGGCTGAAGCATGAGATCAGCTAGAAACAATGCTGTTTGTGCCCTGTGTGTCGATGTCATATGGTTGCCGGTACTGTGTGGCGAGGGGTTCGGGGACAGGAGGGCTCCTCGTCCTTGTAAGGAGGGGTGCCAGAAAAGCCAGCTGCCCTTCCGGAATCCTGTTTCTGCCAGTTACTCTCCCCGAAACTGTAGGCTTATAATTGCAAATCAAAATCCAGCACAGCACCCCCGCCGCCAGGGCTCAAGAGAGACAAGCAGGAAATAAGGACCCTCTTCTATTTCCTGGACCCCCTTGGTTGTAATAGAAGATCTCAGAGAGATTTGGCATAGACTCATTGCTCACCAGCCTGCCTTCTAACCCTGGCATCCTCTTAGATGCCATGGCAGCCTCCTGCCAGCAAAGGCGGGCCAGGCCTCCGTTCTAGTCCTTTCTCTATATCAGTTGGGCTATGTGTAACCAAATAAATACATATGGCTTAATTTATTACACCATATAACATGCAATACTGAAGCAGGCCTGTGCCAGCTTGGTTAATTTGGCAGCCAAACAGAAGCACCCAGCACCCTAGCTCCTTCTTCCTTCTACTCTGCCATGTTTGCAGTTACTCTTGGCCTCAGGCTTGTCCCCTCTTAGTCACAAAATGGCTGCAGTGGAGCCAGCCAAATGCATACGTTCACCAACTGCAATGATGACCAGAGGCAATGGAAAAGGAAGTTTTTTTCTTATCCCCTCTTTTCAAAATTTTTATTGTGCAAATTTTCAAACATAACACAAAGGAAGACAGTAGTATGAAGCTGCCCCAACCCCCACCCTCCCCCACAGCCAACATTTACCCACACTCCGTTTCCATCATTGTTAGCACAAGACTGGTCTTGTTTCATTGTTACCCCCTCCCCACCACACATCCTGGGTTATTTTAAAGCAAATCTCAAGGACGTCTGTGTGGCTCAGTTGGTTAAGCATCCAACTTCAGCTCTGGTCATGATCTTGAGGTCCATGAGTTCAAGCCCCAGGGAGGGCTCTGTGCTGACAGGCCAGAGCCTGGAGCTTGCTTTGGACTCTGTGTCTCCCTCTCTCTCTCTCTGGCTGTCTACTTACTTGCTCAACTTCCCCCATCATAAAAATTTTTGTTTTCTTTTGTTTTGAAGACACAGTTTATTCAAATCAGGGTGCAAACAAAGTCCACACCATGTGCTTGGCTGGTGTGTCTCAGAAAAGATGCCACGGGTAGGCAAACTGCACATGGGGCCAAACCCAGCCCAGGGCCTGTTTTTATAAACACACCCTTGCCACCTACACTTCCTTGGCCTCATCTCCTGCTACACAGGCACAGTGGAGTCGTTCCTACAGAGCCAGGATGAGCCGCAAAGGCTAAAATATTTATTACTTGGCCTTTACGGAAAAGGTTCATTGACCCCCAATCTAAATAATTTCCCTATCTTTCTTTTTCCCTCCTCTCCATTTTTTGGTTTGAAGAACCGAGGACATTTGTCCCACAGAATTCTGCATTTCCTGGTGTCCCTTTTGAAGAGCAAGGTAAGCTTCCAGACCCCCCCCCCTCCGCCCCACAACCTTTCGCAGCAGTTTACCTTCGAGTCCCTCGCCGCCAGTTCCCGTCCAGGGCTGAGGCCATCCTCAGAAGCACGTGGCTGCTCACGAGATACCCTCACAGCTCCCGTACACGACCCTCCCTGCCCCATCCTCTAACTCATGGTCAGCACCTAACAAGCACGCCCCCTGTCCCGGCTCTGTGCTGGACGCCAGGGACCCAGAGGTGACCACAGCAGACCAGACTGTGCTCTGAGCTCCTAGTGAGGGTGTTCCTGGGCTGGGGGGAGGCACAGGTACCGTGAGGGCGCAGAGAAGGGGTGCCAAACCCACATTTGTGCAGCTGGAAAATGCTTCCTGGAGGAGGTGTCCCGGGGCTTGTGGGGAGGGTGGGGCAGGATCCCACCTCTTAGGGGCCGGAAAGTGTGTTAAGGAGTCTGGCCCATCCAGAAGGCTCTCGGCCGCCCCTTCTATTAGGGGGCTGGAGCAGCATTAGGATTGAAAAAGCAAGTGAGATGTAAAATCTGCTCTCAAGTTCCTCACTCTCGCTGAGGCGTGAGTCACCCATGGACGTGTACTGGGTTGTTTAGAGCCCAGGGAGTGAAAGGGTTAAGACATAGTGGGAGGGGTGTTTATAATAGTATTTTGTCCTCTCAAAATATACCACATATATGTTTTTAATGTATATCTTTATATAATATTTCAAATCATATAATCTGTTTTAATATATAATTTATGTTTTATATATTATATACTGTAAATTATGTAATTATATCATGACTTAAATGTGTAGTTTATTATATATTTAATTTATAATTTTATTATACAGTTATTAAATTATATATCAATATAAAATACAGACATATATCTTGTTTTATGGTTATTTTTGAGAGTGAGCATGCACGCACACGCACACATGCAGGGGGAGGGTCTGAGAGAGGGAGACAGAGGATCCAAAGGGGAATCTGTGCTGACAGAAGAGAGCCCGATGCGGGGCTCGAACCCATGAACCCTGAGATCATGACCTGAGCCAAAAATTGGATGCTTAACTGCCTGAGCCACCCAGGTGCCCCTAGACATATATCTTAACATATATTTGACATATTTCAGAAAAGTGGAATATTCTTCTATGTCCATATATTTTCTGTGATGGGATACATAACACGGTAGCATCTTAATGATGGTCTCTGAAATGATACCACGGAGGTAGTGCCTTTTCTCTCTTCCCCCAAAGCCACCTTTGCTCCAATAGCTTGCTCTGGCCTATGGCCCCTCTTGGAGCTGGTTTTTAAATCTGGAAAATGAGACTAGAAATATCTATCTCCCGTCAAGGATGAATACACACAATACTAGCCATGTATCTGGAAGCCCTTCAGCATCTGGGCCAGAGGAGGCATAATATTATTGGCATTTTGCTTCCTTCCTAGCCCTTAAAATGGAATGCCCTGAGTGACTAAGAATCCTCACTCTCTGCCACTCAAAGGGCAGATGGGTTGGAGGTGAACCCGCATTTGCTCATTTCCAGGATGACCTGCCCACAGGGGCAGGGTAGGGGGGCACACACAGACACCCACACTCTGCCAGTGGAATCCTTGCCTTCCACTGGCACTGAGCTCTCACAAGCCCCATCTTCAAAATCGTTCTGAGTCGACAGTCGTCATCTGTGTTCTCCAAAAGAGGGAGAGGCCTTTATTGAGCACTGACTGTATACGGGGTACTGTGGGAAGCACTGCCCGGGCCCCGGGAAATGTCAGCTCCTTGGGTGACCTGAATGCACACCTGCTGGTGACTCCAGTGGTGAAGGTGATGTTTCGTACGATGTCTAACATTTGCCCGGCGAGAGAAAAACCTCAGCGGGGATGCCAGGGGGCCAGGGTCTCGTCAGGACTCTGCTGCTGACTGGCTGGGGAGCTCTGGGCAGTCCCCGTCTTGCCCTGCACTGTGAGCGTGCAGATGAGATCACCACTGCGGCGCCTCTGAGCGCCCACCACCCATGACTCAGCCCCCAGGGCTTTGCACACGCTGTTTCCGGAGGCTGGGGTGCCTTTCCCCATGCCTCCACTGGCAAGCTCTGACTCCTCTTTCAGCCCTCTGTCAGCAGGCAATTCCTCCCCAGACCCATTATGACACATACTTCTTACTGAAGGATTTCTTATACATTTTCTTTTTTTTAAGTTTATTTATTTTGAGAGGGAGAGAAAAAGCATGAGTGGCAGAGGGGCAGAGAGAGAGGGAGTGAAAGAGAGAATCCCAAGCAGGCTCCCCAACTGACAGTGTGGAGCCGGATGCTGGGCTCGAACTCATGAACTGTGAGATCATGACCTGAGCCGAAGTCAGACGCTTAACCAACTGAGCCACCCAGGTGCCCCTTCTTATAAATTGCCTTAAAGGCAGGGCTCAGGTGTTGTCTCCTTAAGGCCTGGCACACAGGAGGTGCTCGATCAAAGTGTGTTGTACTGACTGGCTAGCACTGAGGTCCCTTCCCTCAGCCCTATGCCCTGGGTGAGTGTCGCTTTCCTGAGGGCTAAATCATGGCTAAATCCCAACCGTGAAGACCGGGAGGTGGAAAAGGGTAGAGGTCTCCAGGGATACTCATGCCTTGGGAACGAAGTGAGGCTCGAGGCACATCATCTCGCCCAACAGCTGATGGTGACAACCCTTGCGGTCACCATTAGTCATCCATCCGCCACAGACACTTCTGTTCTTTTTATAACTCCAGGCAGCTGAGGCCAGCCAGGCCCTCCACCTGCCCCACATTTATGCTCCACAGGCTTCCGGGATCTGCTTTTTGGCAAGACCTTCAGATCAATTAGCCGGATCAGTGCTGAGAAGTTGGGAGGTTTGCGGGGTGGGAACCGGGTCCCAGACACCAAAGAGCTACTTAGGCCAGTGGAGTCGAGCCTTGGGTGGAGGGGCACCGAGAGCTTCGGGAAGACCAGGTCACAGAGAGAGCAAAGTGCACAGAGAATTAAAGTGCATGGTGAAGACCCAAATCCGCAACGAGCTAAAAAAGGGCTGTAGATTGCACGTTACAAGCTGTGTGCTTTTCCCGAGTCCACTCCAGCTGGCTGGCAGAGAGGAAGCTTCCTCCCACTTGGCCGCAACTGACCTCCACCGAATGTTCCAAATAGGTCCACATACCTCTCCCAGCCCCGTGGCCCAGAGAGCAGGGCAGCTGAGAGACGAGTCCCTCCCTGGCGACAGCCACACCCAGTGACCTCACTGCTCACTGCTGAGCTGTGAGCACCAGCAGGAGGCAGAAGGCCGGGCCCTCCATCAGTTTCTGGGGAGTGGTTTTTAGCAGGAGCACCCCTATCAAAGGACAAATGGCCTAGAAAGCAAAGTGCAGGCCACAAATTAGCTCCAGGGCCACATGGATTTATCAGTCACCTGAAGAAATGTCAGTAGCCACTGCCCATCCTGTGTCGAGCAGCCCTGTAGTGGCCTGGGCTCAGACAGGATCTGCCCAGAGTGGTCAGCTGTCAGCTCTGGGGACTCCTTGGCCGTGCCTCCTCCTGCCTGCCCTGAGCAACAACCCAAGTGACATCCAGGCACCATGTTTCCCTTCTACCTCCAGCCCTATCGCCTCAGTAATAGGAAGGACAATAAGGGACCATTACTCCTCAACCGTCCACCACCACTTGGGTGACAGCATCCATGGGGCCTTCTATCCCCCAGGGGCTCTTGTTCTTCCCTCTTCCAGAAAGCCACATCTCTGTAGCACCCACCCTCATCATTGCAACCGTAAAGAGCTGAGAAGGTCTGAGATGTCACCCTCCATGTAGGCTAATCCACTTTCCTGGAGGAAGATACGAAACGCCTGGGTCAGAGACCAAGGACTTTGTTGTTCATGGCACCGCGGGCAGTGTGAGCTTCCTGTTTCCTCGCCCCAAGTCCCACGGGGCCAATTCGAAGGCAGGTCCTGGTGGGTGCCATGACCACAATGGGTATGTGTCACAGCTGAGGAGCCCTGAGTTTAGGAAACACCAATCTTCTAAAGGGGCTGCTAGCAAATGGCCCCTCCTTGGAGGGAGGCAAGATCGTTATCTTCCAGGGCCATTTGCTATGCAAAAGTCCTCAAAAGTGTAGCCCAGGACCAAAGCTATTCAGGAGACAGACAGGGACCCATTGGAATCATCTCCCAACAGATACTGTGGAGGTGATGTAAGCCTGTGAGCTGAGCAGAAAGAGTCCACCTACCTCCATAAGCGCAAGGGCAGTGGGGAGCTGCATCCTTTTTTCCCCTTGGCTGAGCCCTGCCTTGAACTAGAGCATCGGGAAGCAGGGTCTGAGACAATCCAGGTGAAGGCTGGTGGGAGAGCCAGGTACCTGGAGTCCAAGAGAGGGAAGGAAGCCCCAGAAAGGGTGGCACTTCCAGAACCACATCAAGTCACGTCACCTGTCAAATGCCTCACTTTCCTTCTACATAAAAGTAAAAGAATAAAGGTACCTACTCATGAGGGATCTTGTAAAGGTTAATCCAGCCATCCAGGGCAAGTGCTAAGCCATCACGCAGCAGCAGTGCCATGAATGATGACCATCAGGGTCCCAACAATTGACTGGTGAGATGGACCGTGCAAGGTCACACTGCCAGAGGACATAAGCTCTGGTAATTCCAACCCAGGTTGCCCAACCTCCTTCCCAGGATGCCCTCTACCAACCAGGGCTGCCCTCTCCACCCACCTCACCTCCTTCTTTCCGCCTCTCCTCTCCAACCTCGGCAGCCTGGCACCCTCCACCTTGGGCTATAGATACCTTGCCAAGGGGATGCCACACACTGTCCATGGTTAGTCCCTGTTAAATGCAGAATCCAGAAAGGCTTCAAGAAAGTCAGGGATGCTGGCTCGCCACTTACCAGCTCCGCAACTTATGGAACCTCCCCTGAACCTCAGTTTCCCCATCCGTAAAACAGGAAAATCATAAGGCTGGTTTATGGGACTGTGGTGAGGATTCCTATATGCCAAGTGCTTAGCAGGGGGCCTGGCACGTGGTAAGGACTCAACAAGTGTCAGCTGTTATTCTGACTGCATTTAGTATTCATATTCTAAATGAGGATTGTAAAATAGACACCCAGCTCTGGGGGACTTGGTAGGTTCCGTGCTCCAGAAATAAGGAACTGAGAAGCCAGCCAATTAGCTTGTGGGTAGGCAGGCAAGCCCTCTGCGCACTGTGCAAACCTGTGCTGACCATCAGAAAGGCCTAGAAGCAGAGCAAGGACACGGTGCCGCAGAAGGGTGAGGACATGGAGACCACGAGCTGCATTCAGCCCCCGGGGGTCCCCCACCAGCGTGAGAACAGGGGTGACAATGACCACAGTGCACGCAGCCGTCTGTCCGAGGTCCCAAGGTCCCAGAGGTGCTGGGGCCACAGTGGGGCCAGAGCCAGGTGACTCAGCAGCATCTGGAGGGCCTCTGACCCACTTCTCACACAATCAAGCTCAGCACTGGCTGGGTGCATGGCTGGGGAGCCAGCTCGCCCTGCTTTGCCCAGGCTTCTCCGACTTGAGCATCGACAGTCCCTGTCCTGGGCACTCTGGAATGGTTGGTCATGCACTTGTGACCAAGACCCACTGGCTTCGGAATGGGGTCTATTCCCTTCCCAAGAGCCCCTGAGTGCCCTCAGCTCCTGCTCTGCACCCCACCCTTGCTCCACTGCTGCCGAGAAGATGTCCCCAGGCAGGAGGCAGAGGTGCTAGAAAGAGAGCCAGGTGTGACTGAGTCAGCAGTGGGGAGGCTGAGAGGAGCAAGGGCATGAGAAGCTGTCGAGATCTGTGTCCTGCACTCCCTTCTCGGGCTCCACTCCACGTGAGCTTGTCCCCCCACCCCGCCCCACCTCTGCAGCTCTGTGGCCACGCGTGGGCTTCTCTCGGCTGCCCTCCTGCTGCTGCTGCCCCCCGCCCACCTCCTGGCTGGCGGGAGGGCAAGGATGTGACCAGCCACTAGTGCTTGGGCCCCTTCCCGGGGGACACACAGAGCTTCCTGCAGCCTGACTGTACCTGCATCTTCGGCCACAACGCCTGGCAGCAGGGTGCCCTTCAGCACCTGCCCCTGGCACTCACCGAATGGCCCGCCCGGGGCTCTGGCCACCAGCTCTACCTGGCCAGGGCCACATCCAGCTGTCCGGAGGAAGTGGCCCGGGATTTGGCTGATAGCATCCACAATGACTGGCAGGTCGGGCTGGACAGGGCCCAGGGGCCAGGGGTCCATGTGATGTAGCTGGGGATGGCCCCCCTCCAAGGCAGCCAACGTCAGGGCCAGTACAACTTCAGCACAAACTTGGTGGAGGTTGTCAGGCACAGGGGTGATGCCTGCCGGATGGCCCACGGGGGCAGATTAAGTGCTTATTAAATTGTACACCCCCAGCAGATCTCAACACAGTATATTTTCATCAGCCTTTAATCCTCAATATCTACAGCAGGCACCCCCCTACCCGCCCAAGCCAGCTTGTCCCAGTGAGCCCATACCTTCTAGGTGCAGGGCTCCTATTTGGCTCCCTTTCTAAATTGGACATTTCTCCCTTAGGAGATAGAGAGGCATGGAGGGTGGCTGGACAGGGGGCTGTGAGAGAGATGAGAGGTCCGATCTGGGACGCTGGCCACAGGTTTAGAAAGGTCAGGCTATCTAAGAATTTGGGTGAATACGCTAGACAGTTGCCCGCAGCTGATGCGGGAGAGGCGAGGAGGAGGAGCAAATAAGGACGATCCCACTGGTTCTTCCCTTGGTAACAGGGGGCAGGTGGCAAGCATCCCCTGAAATGGAGAAGCTCAGAAGGGAAAAGGAAGAGCTTGTTTGGAATGAGGTGAGTTTGACGTTTCTGGGACTCAACCAAGGGATCCCACGCCTGGCACGTAGTGAGCCCCCAGGCCTGGCATGCCTGGGAGAGGAGAGATCTGAGAATCATCAGTCTCTGGGTAGCAATAGGAGCCACGGGGGTTGGTGAGCTGACTGTGGGGCGAGCGCAGTCAGAAGAGAGGCTCGCGGGTGGAATTAAAACAAGACCGACTCCTAGTCGCTGAAGTTCTTGTCTTCTGAGAGAGTTGTCTGATTCCTGGGCAATTCACTAGCTGTCTTACTGGGACAGGATTGATATTCAACCCCTTTTATTTATTTGTTTGTTTGTTTTTAAGTTTATTTTTGAGAGAGAGAAAGTACAAGTGGAGGGAGGGACAGAGAGAGAAGGAAACAGAATCTAGAGCAGGTTCTGCACTGTCAACGCAGGGCTCGAACTCACAGACCAAATTGAACCATCAAGTCCTGACCTGAGCTTAACCAATTGAGCCACCCAGGCGCCCCTCAACCCTTTTTATATATAACTCTCCAGCCACTGTGTGCTAGGGACTTAATTCCCAACCTTGAAACATAGTCTCCCAGTAGGATTCTGGATCCTTCTGCAAAGGACACTTCTAGTGACTTCCCTTCCTATCCAAGGTGGATGAATATGCAAATTCCATCTCCACCATGTCCCTTGATAAACCCTGGTCTTTGGGGCTTTTTACTTCTATCTTTTCACTTTGGGGATGAAAATTTTCAAATATATATAAAGGCAAAGAGTATAGTAAACATTCATGCACCCATAAACCAACTTTAATAATTGATTTGTAGCTAACCTCCTTCCGTTATACATTCCCCCACTTCCCTACACACACACACACACACACACACACCATCCTCACTGGACTGTATTAAAGCAAATTATAAATAGCTCAGTATGTATCTCAAAAATATAAGATCTCTTTATTTATATTTCTAAGTTTACTTATTTATTTTTTGAGAGAGAGAATGAGCTGGGAAGGGACAGAGAGAGAGGGAGGTAGAACCCCAGGCAGGCTCCATGCTGTCAGGGCAGAACTTGATGTGGAGCTTGAACTCACAAACCATGAGATCATAACCTGAGCCAGCATCAAGAGTCAGACGCTTAACCAACTGAGCCACTCAGGCGCCCCATAAGATCTCTTTAAAGAAATTAAACTTCTTTATTGAAGTGTAACATATTACTGAAAAGTGCTAAAGAAATACAAGAAAAATACACACCTAACTCATGTAGCTACTTTCCAGACCAAGAAATAAAGCATCATGAGCTCCCTAGAAGCCCCTCCATGTAGTCTTCCCATCCCTAATCCTTCAGGAAATGGCCACCATTCCGACCCCTGTCACCATAGATTAGTTTTCCCTCTTTTGAACTTCGTATATACAAATCGTATAGTTTATATTATGTTGTGTCTGGTTTCCTTCACTCAACATTTTACATGTGAGATTCATCCATAATTGTTTTCTGTATTGGTTATTTGCTTATTTTTGTTGCTGTGTAGGATTTCGCTGCATGAAGATACCACCGTTTATTCCCCCATCTTATTGTAAATGGACATTTGAGTGGTTTCTATTTGAGCTGTTATAAATAGCACTGCTATGACCATTCTTGTGCACAGTCTCTGGTGGACACAGCAATCATTTCTGGGGGTTATACACCTAGGATCGGGATTGCCTGATCATAGGATATATGTATGTTTATTTTTAAAAGATACTGTGAAATAGGGGCGCCTGGGTGGTTCAGTCGGTTAAGCCTCCAACTTCAGCTCAGGTCATGATCTCACAATTCACGGGTTCGAGCCCCGTGCTGGGCTCTGTGCTGACAGCTCAGAGCCTGGAGCCTGCTTTGGATTCTCTGTCTCCCTCTCTTTCTCTCTGCCCCTCCCCCACTCATGTTGTGTCTCTCTCTGTCTCTCAAAAATAAATAAAATGTTAAAAAATGTTTAAAGATACTTCTAAATAGTTGTCTAAACGATTTGACCTTGGGTTGTCTGCCTTTTTCTTATGGACTTAGGAGAGTTCATTAATATTCTGGATTTTAATCCTTTGTTGGACATTTCTATTAAAAATGATCTCTCCTGCTCTGTGGCTTATCCTAGACACTCTCTTCCTATCTTTTCATGAACAGAAGTTCTTTATTTTCATAAACTCTCATTGATCCATTTTTCCTTTAGTAATCCCTTCTGAAGTCCTACTTAATAAGTCTTTACCCCACCAAGGTCTTAAAGATTATCTCGTCTGTTATCTTTTAGAAGCTTTATTATTTTTTCCATTTGCTTCTACATCCCATCTATAATTTATCTTTATATGAAGCAGAGTAAGTTTCAACATGCATGTTTCTCCTATATGGATATCCAAATCTCATATACTATTTATTGAAAAGACCATTGTTCCACTGCATTTCAGTGGCACATTTCTCAGGAATCTGGTAACCATATATGTGTTTCTGTTTCTGGACCCTCTTCTGTCCACTGGCCTATTTTTCTATATGTATGCCAATACCGTACTGACTCAATTACTATAGGTTTACAATAAGACTTTATAAATGATGGTAAAAGGTCTCCATTCCAGCTTTGTGCTTCATCTATATATTCTTGACTATCCTTGGCCCTTTGCATTTCCATATAAACTTTAATATTTTTTGAGTGGGGAGGGGCAGGGGGAGAGAGAATCTTAAGCAGGCTCCATGTTTAGCGAGGAGCCTGACCAGGGCTCTATCTCAGGACTGTGAGATCATGACCTGAGCAGAAATCAAGAGCTGGTTGCCTAACCGACTGAGTCACCTAGCTGCCCCCCTATATAATTTTTAGCATTGGCCTATACATTTCCCCATTAAGGCAGGATTTTGTAGGACTGCGTTATATCTATAGATCAAATTGGGGAGTGATGATTTCTACAATCTTGACTCTTCCGATTCATAAACATGGTATATTATTGATCTCCATTACATTATTACATTATTGGTCTCAGCACTATTTTGTAGATTTTTGTATAGCAGTCATTCTTCATTAAATTTTTTCTAGGAATTTGATGTATTATAATGTTATGATTAAGTGAATCATTCTTTAAAATTTATTTTGTAATCTGGGGCACCTGGGTAACGGTTCAGTTAGTTAAGCATCTGACTTCAGCTCAGGTCATGGTCTCGAGGTTCCTGAGTTCAAGCCCCGTGTTGGGCTCTGTGCTGACAGCTCAGAGCCTGGAGCCTACTTTAGATTCTGTGTCTCCCACTCTCTCTGACCCTTCTCTGCTCACACTCTGTCTCTCTCTCTCTCCTTCAAATATAAACAAATATTTTTTAAAATTTTTTATTTTATAACCATTGTGGATACACTGACTTGGAATCCAGGGACACTGTTAATTTATTGTTAATTCAATAGTTTATTTTTAGATTCTTTTCATATATCATCTTCAAGAAGTTGTATTTCTTTTTCTTTTAATATTTTTTATTTATTTTTCAGAGTTGGAGAAAGAGAGTGCAAGCAGGGGAGGGTCCGAGAGAGAGGAAGATACAGAATCCGAAACAGGCTCCAGGCTCTGAGCTAGCTGTCAGCACAGAGCCCGACATGGGGCTCGAACCCACAGACCTTAAGATCATGACCTGAGCCGAAGTCGGATGCTTAACCGACTAAGCCACCCAAGTGCCCCAAGAAGTCTAATTTCTTTCTTTCCAATCATATGCCTTTATTTCTTTTTCTTGCTTAATGTACTGATTACAACCTCCAATATAATGTTGAATAAACTTGGTGAAAGGAAGTGCACTGTCTTGTTCTCATTTTCCAAGGAAAAGCTTTTAGTATGTTACCATTGAGAATGATGTCAGCTATAGTTCTCATCTATTCTTAGCTTATTAAGAGTTTTTATCATGAATGGGCGTTAAAATTGTATCGAATCCTTTTCACATATCTGAAAAGGGTCTAGGATCCAGAATATATAAACAACTTTTACAACTCAGCAAAAATAACTCACTCTTAAAACGGACAAAGTATTTAAATAGACATTTCTCCAAAGAAGATATACTCAATGACCAATAGGCACATGAAAAGATATTCAATATCATTAGTCCTTAGGAAAGTGAAAATCAAACCACAGTGAGATGCCACTTCACATGCACTGGGATGATACAACCCAAACGACAAATAACTACACGTGTTAGCGAGGTCGTAGAGAGATTGGAACCCTCATACACTATTGGTGGGAATGTAACATAGTGCACAGTGCAGCTACTTTGCAAAAACAGTTTGGCAGTTCCTCAAAAAGTTAGAGTTAACATATGGCCCAACAATTCCACACCTACGTATATATCCAAGAGAAATGGAAACATAGGCCACACAAAAACTTGTACAGGAATGCCGATAGCTCCACTGTTCATAATAACACTCAAAATGTGGAAACAATCCACCAACTGATAACTAAATAAACAAAATGTGGTATAGCTATACAATGGAATAGTATATTTTTAGACACAGGAAGAATAAAGTACTGATAAATGCTACAACGTGGACAAACTTTGAAAGCCTTATGCTGAATGAATACACCCAAACAGAAGACCACATATACTTGGATTTGACTTCATTTACATGAAATTTCCAGAATAGGCAAATCCATAGAGGGAAAAAGTAGGTTTGTTGTTGCCAGGGACTGGCACATGGAGGGAAGAGAAAATAGCGGCGGGGGGGGGGGGGGGGCTGCTAATGGATACGAGGTTTCTTTTTGGGGTAATGAAGATACTCTGACACTAGACAGTGGTGATGGTCGCACAATATTGTGCACGTACTTCAGGCTACTAAATTTTACACTTCAGAAGTGTGACATTTTTGATAAGCATATCTTAATTTTAAAAAAGAGAAACAGTTTTACATGTAGTATATAGAACTAAATTTATAATCCAAATTACTCTTTTTTTATTTTTAAAATGTTTAACCTTTATTTATTTCGAGGGACAGAGAGAGACAGACTGTGAGCAGCAGAGAAGCAGAGAGAAAGGGAGACACGGAATCCGAAGCAGGTTCCAGGCTCTGAGCTGTCAGCACAGAGTGCATTGCGGGGCTCAAACCCATGAACCATGAGATCGTGACCTGAGCTGAAGTGGGACGCTTAACCAACTGAGCCACCCAAGAACCCCTATAATCCAAATTATTCTTAAAAATCTCAGGAAGGCATCACACTGGAGACAATGACCCTGAGTGAAGCAGTTGATATCTATATAAAGACGATGTTTTGTACAACAACAAAGAAAAACATTTATTTTCTAGGCTTGGTTTTATTCAGATTTTTTGCTTTCTTCCCATGTGACTTTCGGTAAGTTATTGCTTTAAGGAAATATATTAATAATATATATATCTAAATTGTAAAATTTATCAGTATAAAATTATAATAACTTCTTAAGATCTTTTTAATATATGCAGGCTCTGAAGTGACAGCGCTTTTTTCATTCCTGATATTGTCAATTTGTGCCTTCACTCTCTCTGTATCAGTCTTGCTCAGGATTCATACATTTTATTTATCATTTAAACAAGCAAACTATGGCTATTGGTTTTCTTTATTGTATGTTTGCTTTCTGTTTCATTCATTTCTTCTCTTCACTACTTCCTTCCCACAGTGTTTGGATTTCATACGTTGTCCTTTTTAATACCTGGAGATAGATATTTTGATTATTGATAGTAAGTTCTTCTCTGTGTTTTGATGTTTGCATGCGTAACTATAAATTTTCCCCTACGCATAATGTTCGTAGTATCCCACGTGTTTTGGTATTTTTATTATGATTCATTTGAAAGCATTTTTCAATTTCTTCTTTGACTTAGGGTTATTTTGAAAGATATTTAATTCCCAAACATTTGGGGATTTTCTTTTGTTTTTTTGTTCATAGAATTGATTCTAGCTTAATCCACTGAGTCATAGAATTTTCTCTGTAAAATTTCAACGTATTGAAATTGAATTCATTTTTGGGCCTTATGGCCAAGCATATGGCCAATTTAAAAGAATATTTAATGGCACTTGAAATTAAATGTATTTCTTTAGCACATGGATGCAGTGTTGTATGCACATCAGCTAGGTCAAGCCTATCGACTGTGTTGTTCAAATCTTCTATGTCAATGCTGATTTTATTGTTATCTACTTAGTCAGTTACAGAGAGAGGGAGGCTAAAGTCATTCACATGTGTTTACTCTGTCCCATTGCTTGAGTTTTCTTCTTTAGGTTCTCTTTTACATGGAAGTTAGACATTCTCTGTCTTCCATATCTATCACTTTCTCCCATATCTTTTCTTATTCACTCCCCAATTTATTTATATTTCTTTTTAATTTCCCTCCTTTTCATATATTTCTCTTATGGTTTTATTTGTGTTCACTCTTGTATTCACTCTAGTTCTTTTTTATTTCTGAAATTTCATTTCTTTTCTAAAAAGAAAAATCATTTTTCTTAACTCTCTGTAAGCTCTTTTCAGGTCTTCCTTTTGTCCAATCTTCTCATTTATAAGTTTTTATGATCCTGAGTTATGCTTTCATTTCATAGCTTCAGTCATTTCAAAAACTTTTTTCTTTTAGCTCATTTTCAAATACTAAATTAAAATTTGTATCTGTTTTGTGGGCAAGTCTTTCTAGACAACTTCATGGACTGACGACCTGTTATGCTCATTAGTCTCTTTTCTTATAAGAACCCCGAATGGAACTGGATTCTTTCTCTGCAATCCTTTTCTATTGCCCATGTTTTGTTTTGTTTTGTTTTTAACCTTTGTTCACTTTTTGAGAGACAGAGTGAAGGTAGGGGAGGGGTAGAGAGGAGACACAGAATCCAGAGTAGGCTGCAGGCTCCAAGCTGTTAGTACAGAGCTTGATGCGGGGCTGGAACTTGTGAACCGCGAGATCATAACTTGAGCCAAAGTCTGTGGCTTAACTGACTGAGCCACCTAGATGCCCCTCTGCTGTCCACGTTTAAGTGAGATAGGCTTCCCTGTACTCCTGAGTGGGATGAATAGGTGAAGATTTCTTGGCCAAGATTCATGACTCTAGGGCTCCATCTTCTGTTGTACTGAAGAAGTCCTTGAAATTAGCCTCAGAGGAGTTTGAGAACTGCTTCCTCTGTTACTCTACCCCACTGTGTGTGGGGGGGGGGGTATGTGTGCAGGCATTCACAGCAGCCAGGATCCCCTACTTTATCTTTATGTGGATCTTCTCTCTACTTGGCTTCACACGGTCCTGCTATTTACTTCCAGCCATTTCCCCTCAGTGTAGGGCTTTGTCCTGGTTTGGCTGATGAGTTTCAATATTTCATGGGGAGATGTCATGTGCTCTTGGGAGGATTAATTTATATCATAATTATAAAGCATTTCCCAAGGTATCTGGCAGGTAGTAGTACACATGGGATACTTATAATGTTTATAATTATTAATGCCTACCCCCTTTTACCATACATACTAGTCCTATCCATAAACATAAGCTATTTCCTTGATGGGAGTCTCCCTTTCTTGCCTCCATGTCTCTGCACCTGCTATTCCTTTCCCTGAAAAACCTCGGCACAATCTCTGCCACTCACCAATCCTTCAAGAGCATCCTATTGTGGTTATATCAGTGGGTTAACTGGACCCAACCAGCACTCTGGACCACTGTAGCTCCTCACTTCTAGGCCATACCATACATCCCAAACCTCCTCTGAGATTTGACACCAGTGACATAACTTTTATTTAGATTTTTTATTCTCTACCAAGCCCTTTACATACATTACCTCTTAATCTCCACAACAAAACTCTTATTATAAGCATAGTTGGGTAGATTCAATTATTGGCCTTATTTTACATATATGGACACAGAGGTTGAAACAGACTAGATACTTATCCCAAGGTTGATTGTGGGTTGTGATAAAGCAGGTATTTTGACCAGGCAATCTGGTCAAGTTTGATCATGGTGCTACGTCTCTGGACTGTAGTCCCCATCAAGGATGGAGTCCAGGCTTGCATGCCTTTGTAACTGTCTCTGTAATCATCAGTTCTTAGCAGCACCTGGCACACAGTAGGTGTCCAAAAAAGACTCCATTGATGGGCTACAACAGATGGATGTGCATAGTGCATTGTAATGGTTAAATGTACGGGACTATGGGATTTTAGGAAGAAACATTTCTAGCTGAAAGGCAGATGGAAAAGTTTCAGACACTGCTCAATTTCTTCCAAAGAGTCATTAGTCAGACTCTTACTCAGAACTTCTTTTTTTCTTTTTTCCATTCAGGTTTGAACTCAGCGAGATGTTTACATTTTCACAAGCCCTTGGCCACTAATAACTCATCACAAAACTCCCAGACATGGCCAGGCACAGCCCTCAGAACATTCACAAAACCCACACCGATTTTCTAAGCTCTATCATCTGAGGCCACCACTCTCACAGAGAAATCCCAGACCTACTGTTCTTTAATAGAAATATCAGAAAATTGAAAGGTCACTGATGAGTTAGAAATCCAATTTTTCCAGACATTGGAATTTCACTTGGATGTAGATTTACTAGGCA